CCGCCGCCTACGCCGCCGTCCTCAACGGCCACCACCCGCGCAGCACAGGCGGCAGCGGCGCCGGCAGCGGCGCGGGCAGCGGCGCCGAGGACGCCGACGCGGAGGACGACGCCGACTTCGACGCCAGCGACGACGCCGCCAGCGTGCGCAGCCTGCGGGAGCACCGCGTCACGCCCATCGACCTCACGACGCGCGTGTGATGGCAGGCGCCGGCCGCGACCGGGCAAACGGACGCCCGACGTCCCACGGGAAGGACTTGTGTGCAGAAGTGAGGGGTCTTCCTAGTTGTGGTGGACACATGAGGGTTTTCCTAAGTTTAGTGTGATCCACGAGGGTCTTTCCTAGGTTTCGTGAAGCCAATGAGGGTCTTTCCTGCCGTTGCTGAGGTCCATGAGGAACTTGCTACATTTGGATGAGTGTCTTCCAAGGATTGACCGACTCGGCCCTTAGCGCTATTTCACGGCTGTAGATGAAGAGCGCGAAATGAACAACGATGAGATAAAGCCACCCGAGGGAATTATCACTCTGAGTCGATAATTCAACGAAGTTTTGTAAAAACTGTCCAACTCGAAGTTCACATAAGTGACAGATTTCAAATATCCTGAGCGTGGCATTTTAAGCTCTCCCAGTCAATTATCACAATTCCGATGACAGGGTCGCCAGTATTATATCGTCAGGAATCGTTCTTTTAGAGCTGTGGTTGACTTTCAATGAAATGATGGGCCACCTGCGATGTTTCAATTGCATAGCGATATCAATAAAGCAGCGTGACAGAATAATAACGCACTATTAGACAATGGGACCCAAATAATCGGAGACTCCCTGAGTCATCATCGGAAAATATCGAACAGGTCGTGTGTGTTTTCTGTAGAAAATTAAATGAATAAATAATCCCTCCGCAAATGCTGTAAATAAGTGCTTTCCTTACGTATATATATATATATAGTATTTATGTTGTGCGATTTCCAGTGCATTAAAACAAAATAAATGGAAACAAAATGTAAACAAAAAATGTGGTTTTAGACAAAAGATGATGTTCCGCGCGTAGCTAAAAAGCAACAATCAAATGAAAGAATGTGATACAAGAACACGTCCACTTGTTTTGGAGGAAAACGCCATTAGGATGAAAAGAGAAGAGAGCGCACAAAGTGGTACTGTTCGCAGCACCTGCGCCCCTGCGCGCGTGCAGGCGAGTGGAGGCGGCGGCGATGGCGGTTGTGTAGATGGAGGTGGAGGCAGCGGCGGCAAAGGATACTTCAAGGATCGAGCCGTCGTCGGAACAATGGTGGTTAATAGAGCGGTTCCGAACGGCGCGGCGGGTCGCCGGCTTACCTGGGGGCTCGACCCCGTGACCTGCGGGCATTGTGTCTGATAACGCCGTCCACGCTCCACCCCGCTCCCGCCCCACTCACGCCGCCTCATCCCCTCCCGTGTCACCGCCACTCCGAGCACTCTCCCTGGCACCTCTCACTACTGGCGTTGCCGCTCATCTCCACCGCCACCTCCGCCCCCCGCCCGCCTCAGTCAACCGTCATCGTTACGTTACCCCTTTCGCAGACCGCACAACCTCAGACCAGACGACCGGGTCCGTTTTGGCGCTTGCTTCGTAAACGATAAAAAAGTTGCAAGAAACTGAAGTCCACGTAAAGTGGGATATAAGCAGAAGGAACAAGGTATGCGGTTCAGCACGGCACATTGCATCTCCATCGGAAGTATCAGCATCAGCCAGTGTCGTGAAAAGTCAACTAGTGCGCCACCTTCTGGAACTTGGAGGTTCTATTGTGGTCGGTTCTGCGAGGCGGCGTGGGCGTGTGTTCTTGCAGGAGTCGCATGGCGCCTCAACGGGCGCGCAAGAAGCAAGGAAGAGCATCGTCCGGCGTCAGGGATCCTTCGGAGTGTTACGGCGCCGCTTGGCGCGTCGAGGAACGCAACAAGTCATTGGCGGCGCGGGCCGTCCTTCGACTGGAGGCGTCGCCAGGGGTCGCGCCGCGGCGGCCCCTGCACGCCCCCACAGCATCGATCACGAGCGGCCCGGCGCCGCGCCGCGCGTAATTTGTCCGCGTCAGCCTCCCACCGGACCGGCGCGGCCTCGCCGCCCCAGGCGACCGCTGTCAACCCCACGGCCAGTACTAGCGGTCCGCCTAGATATACCTTTCCTAGAGCATAGCTTATGTGTTACTACTTCTGTTAATATTGCCTCTTTTACCAAATGTATTTAGTGATGAAAATATGTTGATAAATATCTATTACTTGCAAAATATAGTACTTGGGTCAACAGTTATTTGTGCACGTTTCCTGAGTTTCCTTCTTATCCTTCTTTCCACATTTTCTTGTGGCGTAAATGTAAAAACAATGAGTATTATTATTTTTTAAGTTAATTTCCCAGGCAATCTCCTACAGAAAGATAGCTAACTTGTATAAAAAATGTGGGCGTAAAACTATTTGAGAATGTAATATTACCCTACTTGTAGAAAAGGAAATAATCTATTTAACCACAATTAACCGTAATATTTTAATCTATATACCTTTCATGTAAAATCAAGAGTGTTTAATGATTTAATGTCAATCAAAGCGTCGGAACAATGGTATACGAAGAGAATAAGATATGGTGATTAAAAAAATGTTTACAAACATTTTAATTAGTGTTAACGATGCGATGATCAGACTTTTTTTTGCAAAGATAAGCATTATCCTGAATAGTAATTATGTTTATTAATGGTTTATAAATTCACTTAAATATTACATCTGAACAAGCACAATAGAGTAACAAACTGTATAGAGTTTGCAATTAATATAATTACAGTGCAAATAATACACAACAATAAACATTTACAGTGCTTATGTTTTAGTAATGCATATTGTTCAAAGAGAGTACCTTTTAAATGATCACGTTTCTATGATATCATTGGCGAACATAAATCCATTTTCCATTCTCTTTAGTTGTGCAACATTTAACAAGGTAGAAGGGTCGGGGCCAGAAAGGACATCAATGTAATTGACGGCATATTATCAGCCATTTACGTCCAATCCATCATAATTCACTGGCTAGGCTAATGCGGGTTGTGCTAAGCAGGTGAAGTTTGGTCTGGTCATCAGATCGCCATATATCTCGTCAGTCATTTTTTCTCTTCTGACGTTAATGTAATTACATCATCTCGTGTAAATTACAGATTACGTCTATAAACTTACGAAATACTATAAGATCAATAATGCTGTGTGGAAAGGAGTAAAAAGTAAGACATAAACTACCATCGCCCATTCTCAAAGAGTAATCTAAGAAGAAACGAGCAATAGAGACATAGAGACGAGGGCCACAATACCCCCGAAATTACTGCAAGATAAATTGATTTTCTTTGTAGCAGAGTATCCTAGTGAGGACGTTACTTTTCAACCCAGGATTTGTAGAACATAACACGCGTAGACTAATTCAAAAAAACTGTAATTCTGAAGTATCGATTTTATTGAGCACGCATCACTGTTTCATTCTAAGAACTTAAATTTCAAGAATTTGCCAAGTAATGTGAGCCACATTATGAGTTATATCTTCTGAATGAGTTACAAATTAGGAACTGCACCCAAATTAGTTCAAATAGAGACATACTAATTTTCATGGGAACTGCAGCACTGAAAATAGTTATTGGCGTTGAAGAGAAATAATGTGAACCTGCTCGCTCGAGCGGCTTTTTTGTCATTATGGGATAGAATTTCTACATTATATCGACCTGTTTAAGGAAAGAAATGTGTCTCATACGATACGGAAAACATGTTTCATTTGATCAACTGATATCGCCATTTTCAAAAGGAATGCAATACGAAATATTGAACTGAGGCTTAATACGCCAAAGTCGTACTCTAGTAAAGTAACTGAAGTACATTTTAAAAATTATTTATTTAATTATAATTCTATTACTTTCAATTCTGCAGGAATTTCAATTTACAATAAATGTTATCCATTACACTTGAGTATAAGAATTCACAAGCGCAGTTTGAATGTCTTTAAGGACAACTCAAAAGTAACAGTATTCATATACCTTAAATATATATAAAGGATTGTAAAAGGATAAATTGTATACTTTGCAAGTACGTAAAATAATGATTGCTGAGAATCACAAGAAAATTTACTTTTTTAAAGTGAAAAGGAAAACATAAATTTGTTTCCAACTTTGATTATTTGAGGTTTATATCTTATGTTGTTTGATTATTTAAGGTTGTTAAGTATCCTACATCTACTCTATTTCCTATTGAGATCAATCAATTTCAGATTGAGAATTATCACAATGACATTCAGACTTAGCACATTAATATTGACGCTTTTTACTTTAAAATTGAGACTATGCAATTGAAAACAATCAAAGAAGTGAATAAATAAATTAAAGGAACAACATCTCAACACATTACGTAAAACTAACTTCATGAAAATGTAATCGTAATCTATATAACCATATGGGCTAAATTTAAAATATCAGGAATGAATCTTTGCGCATTCCATGGTATGTTGTGTAATTTTGAACAAGATAATGGATTTGGATCATGAATTTTGTACGCAGACTCAATATATCTCAAAGGGAAGTTTGCGGCAACATCGCAGAAAACGTAAGTGTTCAAAACGTTCCACACTTCTCAATAGAATTACCACTATTCATCTCCCTTTCCATTGTATTAATTGTGTGGTCACGGGCTAAGAGTTCTTAACTCAAATTTTGGCCAAATTGTTTAAGAACGAAAACTACAAGATAATTAGCTACATTTTATTTTAGTAAAACGACTGAATTCAAAAGTTGCATTCTTAACGAAAAAATGCGTTGGTGAATATAGCTTCATACCACTCAATAATACCGGCTCCATAATCTAACCCCTATCGATAAGAAAACTATTATAATTGCAAATTTGCAATTATTCAAATGTTTATAAAATTTGCAAAATCGTGTATTTTTCGAATTGATAGATGGCTCTAGGGAACCATTTAAAACAAAAACATCAAAATTCAAATCAAGTCCATATACGTACAGTATATTAACCACAAATAAAGTAGGTAACTTTTTCATGTCTGGTAAAAATTGTTATTTTGAAACATTCACCTCAAAACCAATTTGGGAACATTGCATGGAAAGAATTGCACAGATTTCGGAATTGTTTATAAAATTGTTAATTGTTGCAAAATTGTTACTTCGCAGTTTTCTGTTCTGGAACATCAGGGACCCCTTCCCACTATAGAATTTTAAAAAATGGATATTATTTATGTTTTTTAATTTGAAAAAAATGCCTTTTCCGAAATCGCTTTAAACGAGATGCAGAATTCTGCTATCCGATCGACGCAATCGTCTTTCGTTTTCGAGATATGTAATTGTTTATAACAAATTAGCATCTCATGACAACAACTATTATTCTGGCAGTCAATCCTTTCGCTGTTCCCACGCAAGCCTTTTCTTCACACCATTTTAGAAGCAGCTCGTTTATTTCTTTGTTACATACGTGTGAAGTTCCTAGCGGGGGTGGAGCGGATATGCGGCCAAACGCTAGCATATATTGCCATGAACATTGTCGCTAGTTAGATATTCCTTGTTTTCAGCTCTAATTCTTCATTATATTCTAAATACTTTTAGTTCCTTTTGTTTAGCAAATACCGCATAAACTTTAAAAAATACTACACGAGTCGGCTACCGAACAATTCTGAAGTTGGGAGGCAGCAATTGGCTTCCAGAAATACCTCTCCCTAAAAATTGCCTCCTTTCTCCACGCGTTGGAAAGCGGATGAAGCAGAGCTTGTTGTAAGCACGAATCGTAACAATCACTTCCCCGGGAACCCTCTCAGGGCGCAAATTCCTCAGATCTTTATGTATGTCGTCCGGATGGCCGAGGTCGGTGAGGCAGTAGTGTCGTAGCGATCTCGGACTGAAGGATCGCAGATTCGAGTCCCGCCGCAGGCATTGTATTCGTGTTTGTCCATTCACCACCTTTACGTCATTTTTATTGTTACCAGAATGTTAAATCCAATAGTGGTCGCTAATGACACATGTTGATGCGACCTTAAAAAAATGTGTATGAAATTGTGAATAATAATTCAAATTAAATGTACAAGAAAATGCCCACCAGGGCTTCAACAAAAAAAATATCTCCAAAATTAAAAAAAATAATTTCAAAATCACAGGGACTAGATTTAGGCCAGAGTGTAAATGGAAAACACATTCTGACAAAAATTCTATGAATGGTTTGGCCCTAGGGTGTTCACAGACTGACGGACACATCACCGGACGGAAGGACGGACGTACACTGTCTTGGTAACTGAAGACTACAAAACGTGTTTTCCCGTTTAAATCTCGAAATCGATTTACTATAGCATTACATACATACATCTCTAAATAATACAGTTGTTACTCCGTTCGTCTGTCTCAAAAGAGAAAAAATAAATATATAAATAAAGAAATACACTTCCACATACCGCAGGTTATACGCAAATATAGAACAACAACTAAAGAAACCGAAAGCCTGCCCGTCAGAATGCAGTTGGAATGTTATTGAGTATATAATATAAACATTAGAAACCCTATGTAACATGATGAATGATTAATGAAAGTGGTAGCAGAATTCTGAGTGATTGAATAAGCAAGACGAAAAACGTCTCGTAGAGGAAATATCGAAATATTTACTTCTCATAGCGTCAAATTCAGCTACCTATATTTTCTTAATTAAAGCCGAAAATATCGAAGCAGTTATTTCGTATTTTGTAAAACGTTTGTAGAATATCTTTAGAAGAAAAGTGGGTTTATTGGCCAACGCTAGCGTACTAAGCGTTTAGTTGGAAGACAGTACCACGGCGGTGAGTTATATTTAACCAACAGAATTCCACCATTGTTAGTCAATATTACTGTTTATTACATTTCTCAGTAGTAATTGACAAATCCTTTATAATTCCCCCGGTTGGCTCTCTTCATCCATGAAGGTGTTCTACAAGGCTTTGGAATCCAGACGAAGAAAGCAAGTTGACAATATTAGCAGAATTGAACTAATTTCTTCAACTACGTGTTAGCAATAAACAGAAGATGACAAACTAA